AGACCTTCCTTTGACATCTCCCAAATCCACATGTTAAGGCTGGTTTGAAGATCATGGAAAGGGGTGACAACTTTAATCCTTCCTAAGAACTCTGAGGTTTTGTACTTTAGCAAATAGTGGAGTTGCCTCAAGCCTGCTGGTGCCTCTCTCTTGTGTGTGGGTGGTATCGTTTTGGTTGCGTAGGCAATGGCACTCACCCTTGAGCATCAGAAACAAAAGGAACGAGAACAAGCCTACACAAATTTCTGACTTATAAGGCTGAACACAGCTGCCCAGGCATGGTATGTGGCTTGCCAGGTGGTGCTTGATAACCCACGCACTCCAGTTTTTGCAGTGCCAGGTAGGCAGCAAGCAAAGGGGATGGTGTTCCTGGGGGACCAAATCACATGGCTCATAGGGATGGTAGGTCACAGATGGCATAAGCCATCACTATGTCAAAGCACTCCATGATTAGCATTACTGCTCACTTGGGTCATCCAGTCTGCACATAAAAAAGCTTTATGTTCCTTACAAGGTTGTTGTATGAATTATAAAAAAATGTGTGGAAATTCTTCAAAAAGATTCATTGCATAAGAACCAAATTAAACATTATGCCTGAGCAGTCTCCCAGATTGTGTATGTGTTACTGAATGAGTGAGTGTGTGTTTGTGTATGAGAAAGAGTGAGAGAGAAAATGAGTTATTTTAGGGCTATGTCTTCCAGCAGCCAATATGGATGTGGCCATGCGGGATAGGTTCTGGGAGTGGTGATCTAAAAAAAAAAAATGTAACTTGGCTATGCTGGCCATGGGGATTTCTGAGATTAGTATTCCATAAGTTTTTTTGTTTTGTTTTTATTTGTACCATGTATTGTTTTTACTGTTTTCTCTTTTAACCTACAGTGTAAGCTGTCATGGGTACCATATTTGGAATATGGTGGGATATTAAATAAAAAGTAAATAGGTAGGTAGGCAATAGCTTGACCATTATGGTTTTAAGGTTCTGGGAGCTGTGGCCCAAGTAATTTTTCAAAGCTTGGGATCAGATCTAGTTTGAGTACATGGGAATCTCTGGGCAGCTGCCAAATCCCAGTACCTTACCAGTGGCTTCCACTGACACCTATCCCACTCATACATCTCTCTAAAAAGTGTCAGCATCCTGGAGCACCCTTTTTATTTCCCATAATGCCCAGATAGTATTGTTCCAATGGATTGTGGGAAATTAAAATAGTGGCTCCCTAGAACACAGTTGCCCACTTCTGCCACCATGCAAGGTAGGAGAATCTTACCAACATGACATAGCAGGCCCCTGTCCAAGTGTTCCTTCAAATCTAGAATGGGGACTATATTTACATCTTTTGTTGAAATGCAGCATGGGAATGTTGAGTTTGTTCCTAACATTGTATTCATAGAGGTCCAGCTATATTAGTCTGGCCACAACTTGAATTCTTTTAGGAACAGCTGGACGCTAGTACAGTCATCCCTCCCGATTCGTGGGGTATCCATTCTGGACACCACCACTACCCTGCAAATCAGGAAAATCGCAACTATCCAAGCCTCATTGATTTCAAAGGTGGTGCATGCACCACAGGCGCTCACCATCTTGCCCTTCCCCGCTTGCCATCCATGAAGGACCGAGACCGCAAACACTTCTGTATAACTGGTGAGATAAATCATTTCTCACCATCACAACCAAAAAAATTAAAAATAAATTAAATTAAAGTTCCTGGCATTCCTTATCTGTCAAAACAAATTAGTCAGTTCTCCACAGTGATGAAATGTATATTTCAAACTCATTAGTGTATTTCATGTACAAACCTGCAAGTTGTAGGGCGAAATTTGTTCAGTTGGCAACAGCAAGTCAACTGAGGCTTGTTTTAAAAAAACATTTCAGGCTTTGTTGCTATTCAGTCAACACACAAAAATGACAACTCTGTTGTCATTTTGTGATTGACCGTTTCAGAGACTCAAAGCAACTAATAAAAGAAAAGCTTTAATCAGCATTTAGGCCTGACCTTCATACCATCCTTGTCTTGGAAACTAACGCCCTGTACAGACTGGCCAAAAGGTCCAGTCTGGGACTGAAGTTGGGGTGTGGCGACTGCATGCTGGTTGCTCTGACTCTGCCTTGATGCTGCCGTCACGCTGCGCACCCCACCGCACGGCAAGCGGCATCAGGTCGCTCCCTTGGCGCAGGATACAGTTACATTGTGCCAATGAAGCGTGCCACTCCAAAAAGGAGTGGCATTTGCCAGCTCTTTTTGAAGCAGCAAAGTGCCAGATCGGGGCCACGGCGTGCGGTTGCCACAGCTCTGATCCAGCAAAGAAACTGTCTGTATAGCCCCTAAGTCACCTGAGTTCCCAGTACTGGGGAAAAGATGGGATATGGATTAATAAAACAATAATAAGAGTCAGTTCAATCATGGAGAAGTCATAAGTGGGGCAAACATGTTCTTCCTAACCACTTCTTCCTGTTCTTCCTGTACCACTTTGCAACAGAGGTTTGAAAGCTTCTCCACATCAAAAATGGACCCAATATGTAGAAGGTGAGTAATTCAAGAAGGAAGCAGTGCTAAATTTTTTCCCTGTGTGGACAGTTAAGAACTTTAATTGCTCTATTGGATCAAACCAAAAGCCTTTCCAGATCAGCATTCTATTCCTGCAGCAGACAGCCAAGTACCTACAGAAAGGCGTCCAAACAGAACATGGATGCAATAATTATTTACATCAGGAAACCTTCCAACTTGCCTATCTCAATCTGCAGACTGAAGTGATACAATTTGGACTGCCATCTAATTAAAAAAAAAAGCATAGGGCAATTATTAGCTTTAGCCAATTTACCTGTTAGTAAGCCTCATTGACCTCAGCAGGATCACCTTAAGCAGATATATGTATGACTGTTGCAAAGTATCATAAAGTTACTGTCCTGAATAAAAAAATTTCAAGAAGGGGGAAGTGGAACTATTATTCTTCACTAATGTTGTTTTTGAAAAAAGCAACAAGCAGTTCTGTGTGGTTGAACTGCGGGTTGTTCCTGTAGCTACAAGGCATTGGTCAGAGACCCAACCACCAGCAGTCATATCATCATCTCTGCCTTGTCTCGGTTAAGTTTGAGTCAGCCTGCAGTTTTCCATGTCTGAAAATATCAATACATAGTGGGAAAACTACAACATGATAATTGTACGACATTCAGCGGTTTTGTTTTCTGTTGGGGAAGCAATTGCACAGCCTACTTGACACAAATATGTGAAGGCAATTGCACAGCCTCCAACATTTCACCAAGACACATGTGGTCAGGTAACATTATATGTGGTCAAGATGGCAAAAGTCATTAATGAAGAAGAATACATAAGTCAAGAAAGGCTGCAGCACTTTGCATTTGCTAGTGTCTACTGGGTAGCATGGCATAGTGGTTTGAGTGTTGGACTATGACTCTGGAAACCAGGGTTCGATTTCCTGCTTGGTCATGAAATCCAGTGGATGGCTGTGGGGAAGTCACATTCTCTCAGCCTCAGGGGAAGGCAATGGCAAAACTCCTCTGCACAAATCTTGCCAAGAAAACCCCATGATAGGCTTGCCAGGTCAGAAACAACTTGAATGCACTCAACAATAACAAATTGGGAAGGGCACGATTCCAGCCCCATCTCTCTTCTCCCCCTTGGTGAGTTAATTGGCAAATTATTTATGCACTTTGAACTCAGTTTGGAAGAACTGAAGTAAGCTGAAAACAAAGATGGAAAGTGGGAGCTGGGGAGACAAACTAGGACATTTTTAAAGCAGCCAAAATGTGGGACAACAGAGGATTAATTGGACTGTCCCTGCCAAATTTCAATAGCTGGAGAGTATAAAATTGATATATTTGTTACTTATTTGTAATCTGCACTAAGATCTTTTGATATAGGGTGGCATATAATTATAAATAAATAAATGTTGGTTTCCCACCTGTTTAGGTCATACACTTGTCAGGAGGGACCCCAGAATTGTTTTTAAGGTGCCAGGGGGGCAGTAACACTGGCAGGAAAATCATTATTAATTTTGCCCACTTAACAGGTATGCTTTTACAAAACAGTGAATACTATTTAAAAGGAAAAGCTGCAGAAGTGATATGTGATATGATAACAGAGCTGTACACATAATATTCTCATAGGAAAGATATATCTACCAAGCTGAAGCATGGAGACTTTCCTGATGGAGAATCGCCTGGAAACAGGGGTGTATAATGAGGTGATCACATTTGTAGAGGACAATAAACGATTTAGGTGTGGTGAGAAGGGGAAAAAACTGTGAAGAGCCCCAACTAAACTGAGAGAAAGTGCTTTAAAATGCCAAATGAAAAGTCAGTGAAAATAAATGTAAAGTGATGCATTGGGGGGAGGGGCAAAAAAAATCCCAATTTCACATATCCACTAAAGGGATGTGAGCATGCGGCAACTGACTGGGGGATTTGGAGGCCATAGTTGATATTTCTTAGACATCTCAGAGGACTCAGCTACAATAATGGTTTAATATTTTAATATATTTTTGCATATTTTAAACTTCTTCTTAATTCTAAGCCACCTTGAGCCTCAATGCTGCGTGAAAGGAAGGAAAGAAATTATTTATTATCATTGTTGTAGTAAATACACTTCTAATACTTCCTGATACATTTGGTTTTCTCTGAACATTTCAGGGAGGCTTGCCCCCCCATCAAGTAGTCTCTGAGAGTGGGCTCAAGCCC